CAAACACTCAAGGTCAGTGAATTAGCCCACCCTCTCACTACAAAGTTGCCTAACCACATGTACCTACTTGAACAACATCCATCAAGAGGCCGGCAGCTACCATGCCCAAGCCAGCCAGAAGGAACGGCACGAAAATCTGGGAGGCAATGGAGAATGAAGTCTCTGGGAGAAATCCACTGGCTGACCTGGTCAACTTGCAGGTGAAACCTCTCAGCTTCTTGCCATGGAAGCACAGTTCCAATTGTAACTGGGTGACAACCATGGTCAAACACCATTACCCCATGCTCAGCAGCGCAAATGGGGGGAGATCAGGACATCACACAGATCCTCTTTGAAGTCAAAAGAAATGTTTTTTCTCAAACTACAGCAATGATGCCAAATTGCTTCAGCTTCTTCTTCTCCTCCTCCTAGGAGTACGTCCAGAGGGTTGCAGCAAGGGTATCCTCCAAAATGGATTCAGCTGGGTTGAGCCCAAGTGGCAGCAAACTTGACAGACACTATTTCTCCGATATATATCCAGAGGGGAATTAAAAAAGAGAAAAGAAGATTGCAGAGATGCCTGTGGACGAATAGAAATGAGCCCACACCCCATTCAGCTCCCACCACCTCGGTAAAAACCAGTAAGACCTGCTCAGGCTACAGCACCGAAAGAGTGACAGGTCATGCAAGAATCCCTCGGCGTGCTCAAACGCACTAGTGTCCTTTCTCCTCAGGTTACATTTCTTGTCAGACTGCAGCTCGCCTTTGATACGATGGTTTAATATGTAAGCCTGCTGTGAACCAGCCCCAGTTCCCTCACTCCCACCATAAGCAATGTTGAACTTTTCTCACTGTCCCAAGGCTGAGGAGGTGGGGAGTTAACAACCGGGATCCGTTTTGCTCTTCTTCAAGGTGAAGAAAGGTCAAGGAAAACATGAGTCCACGTTTCTCACGGCTGATGATATTATGCAGGTCTCATCCCCAGGCAAGCGTCACAGCTAAGCCGGCTGGTGAGAGAAGATCTGCCCTTCTAAACCCCAGCCCCTCTTGTCCCCTCCATGCTCTCCGCAGGATGTAAGGATCGAGTCTATGCCAGCTATACCTCTGAATGACTGGCTTTCAGGGGAAAAAAAAATACAGAGAACCAGCCAATAAGCTTCAAAAGCGAACACCCTTATCTGCTGTCATCACTTCAACTTTCTGCTAGTTTGCAAAGGCCAAGATAAGAGTCATAGCCGGGGCTTATTTAAGGTAGCTCCGTAATCTCACTACACCGCAGGCAAGCGAGAGAAAGGGCGAACGTTTCCGTGGCACGCTGCGAGCTGGTCTCCCTTCCTGTCCTAAAGTGAAACACACTGCTTCTGCATACTCCCAGGAAGACACTGTCTTTGAGAGAGGGGGTCTCAGCCCCGGGTCTCCATGGTCAAACAGCTGAAACAAAGTCAAGAACAGAGCTGCATCATGGCCACATACAGCCAAAGAATTTGTATCCTGCTCAGTAAAGACTTCAGCTCAAAGTCACGCACGCTGGAAAGGGAGTCAGAGTATTCTGTTGGGGCTCCTTTTTAATAATTAATTGGGGCAAACTAATTGGATCAGAGGGTCAAAGAGCTTTAAAAGCACAATTTAGGATGAAAGGGTATAGGATTGGTTTAGTACATTGGCAACGGAGCTTTTTCACTGTTCAACCACAGGTTCAAATCCAGCCATGGCCCAGTGAAGGCAAACGAGCGAAAGCAAGTATTCAAGGAGGCACAAAAGATACACATTTCTCAGTCCAGTTCGAATTCAATTTAAATTGCATTACCTTACTAACACTTTTTGTACTAATCAGCCCCTTCCCTCACATTCTCTGCAGAGAGACGTAAAAATGAATGGCTTGTGGACTCTGTCCTTATGACAGGGTCCCAGGCTTGGAGCTAAATGCATTGGCAGGGTTGCGCAGAACAAGACATGCTTTTGCCTTGCAGATAAATAGGGTACCGAGGAAGCTCTCAGCCATTTGGAGGGTGTGTTTCTTGTGGTCTGAATTCACACAAACCAAAGCACAAACCTGAACAGGCTGAGATGGCACAGCAGATCTCTCTTCAAGCATGGCAGGGTGGAAAACAAGCCCTAGCTACGGATAGGAGACCCTGTCCTTTGCTGCTTTCTAGGTTGATATTTTGGTACAGCCCCCGAAACCTTCTCCTCTCCCAGCCGGCTTGGTGTGTACCTGTGTCTCTTCCACCTAACAATGGTCTGGTTAGTTGAAAGCCAACAAGGGAGTACATTTCAGCTAATCTAACTGGAAAAAAAGCCCACAATAGCGGGAAGAGGGAGGTTAATGAAAATCCTGTAATAACCACACATGACCCAGTCTCTTTCTACCAGCCAGGAACAGAGAAGTGACTGCACGAAGGCCCAGTTTTGGTTAGAAACTCACAGAGGCTTCAAGGAAATAAAGGACAATTTCTGGACAACTACCACAGGTTTTCAAAGGTCTGACAATGTGCATACCTGGTCCCATATGCCATTGTATCTGCCAACTGGATCGCTGACAGGCAGAAACATTAATGTAAAGGAAATATTAATGAGCTTGAATGACTCAAATACCGTTAAAAAATACAGCAGCAACGCATCCTGTACCATAGCGTCAGCCTGGCAGGGTTTCTGAGTTGATCATGCTTCGGTTCTCTCTGTTTCTAAGCAAGCACCATAAAAAGCCATCAACCGATGAATCAGTATGCAGAGAAGGTAATTGGTTCAGGTGACCTGCGTGTGCACACTGGGTCATTTTATTATGCATTTAAGGAGCCTCTGAAAAAGATCCGCACCATATTTGTCAGCAAAGAGATGCATCATATTTTCCTGGCAAAGAGATATACCATATTTGTCTGCAAAGAGATGCATCAGGTTTGAGAAGAAAGAGAGCATTGCTGAACAGCAGGAAAAGGATTCTAACAAGTTGCGGGGGGGGGAAACACAACAAAACACCCCATGGCTGCATCACTCCTCATGGCAAAACTCGGGGAGGTACAGTGCCACCCTTCTCTGCACACAAATACACTGTATCCCTACACTTGCAAACTAGCCAACAGGTAGCATTGCCCTAGAGGAGCCAAAGCAGAAACAGCCTCTTTCTTTGGTGGGCCCTCACCCTGGTCTGGGGCCTCCATCCACTGCCACGGTACAAAACAAGAACTGAAAGATGACAAATGCCAAAGAGCACAGTTTCAGATGTACCTTATCATCCCTGCAAAGAAGGGACAGGGACACCAGTGAGTACGCTTACAACACGGCAGTGTTAGCAACAGATAGCACTATCCTGACATCTTAGACTCATGGCAGGACAATGCTTTTCAGGGAAAATACATCCCAGTTGTTGGAGTACTATCACTCCTGACTCTGCTAGCTCTCTGTCAGATCAGGCCGCGAATTTTTGTTTCTTACCTTGCTCCTCTCTTCCCCACTTTAGGCAAGGGCAGAGAAAAGAACTTATGTGGAGAGACTTGGAGCAAGCAGATGGAGACTGTTGGGGATCCAGAGCCTCACAGCATCTCCTGCTGCCCCACAGAAACAGCAGCAGCAGCGGCTGAGGCCAGGACTGGCTTAGAAAGGAAGGGCAGTTCCTAGCAGCAATGAGTCCACAAGTAGACACGCTAAAGTAGTCCGTGATCACGCACGAAAAGTCACTGTGCTAACTGCCAAAGGCCTGTTCTTCCTACGAGATGTTACATGGGTTGATTTCCCAGGCTCTAAGCACTAACATGAAAGCTTGTTGTGAGCTCTTTATTTGCATAAAACAGAAACCAGACTTTTGCGGTTTCAGGGGAGTATGAGGCTTGCTTCACATTCTGTTTATATTAGTGGCCCAGACCCTCCTAAAAAAAAATACTCGAAGGGAAGAACATTGAAAGAAAAACACTCCTTTAACATCACAAACCCATCTGCAATCTATTTCATGCTTTAATACCTCACAACAGGAGGTAATACGCATTTAATGGCAGAGATCCGCAGGAATGGGCAGGTCTGAAGAGTCTGAAAAATAAAAATTAAAGTGGTTTCTCAAGGCTCTGAGAATGATGTCTTAGGAGACAAAAAGTAGTTTGCCACTGGGTTTTGGATTTGCTTTGGTGTTTTCTGATCTGACTGGGTACTGAGTACATGCTAAGGTCAGTTAAGGATACCGTGTCACTCTTAAGCCTTTATAGCTCTTCTAGCTCAGGGAGATCAGCCCAGGGCTAATAGCAAAAGAACACAGCTCCAGATTTGTGAAAGTTGTCAATGCAAGCACAGTAGTTTCAGTGTCACTGTATCAGAGAGGTCAGGGCAGTCTAACCCAACAGCTAGCTAGTCAAATAACAGGGGTTAACAAAAAGGCACACAGCGGTAAGAATCACCTAGAGTGCAAAGGCATAGCAATTTATAATCTGGAAATTAACTGCAGCTTTAAACTCTCTAAAATTAGGTGCTCACCAGTACCTTAAAGCTCTGTATTGCTGCAGCGTAAGGAGGAAAGGTCTGGTCCTGACTGTTACAGAATCAGAAATCACACTGGAAGAAGACTCAAGGGTCTGAGTCATCTGCTACAAGGCCTTAGAAAAGGATGTGGTGCGCAGGCTGGGCTGGGCTGGCTCTATGAAGCATTAACAGTGCTGTGCTGGCTACCTCCTTGCGCAATGAAGCAGGGGATGCAGGACTATCCAGAGCTACAATCAGCAGTGATACAGCTGTATCTACTTGCAAGAAAGCGCTATGCCACCACAGCCCTTGTGGCTGCAGCTCAGCCACCCTCTTCCCAGGACCAAGATGAGATCTTTGCACAGGACTGCACCTTCCTACACTGGTGCCTCGGATCCCTCGCGTGCTCTTTAGTACCATATTGTCTTTTATCTCCAAAGGGGAAAAAGGGCCAGAAAAACACCACACGCTGTCTCTTGAGAGCTGTATATAATAGCTGACTTTGAAGGACATGGCATGTGAAACTGCTGCAAATCCTTCTTTACTTTGCCATCCCCAGAGCAAATCCCCTGTCCCTGAAGAAAAGTCGCCCACCTATCCCGTACCAGGTACATCAGATCAGTTTCTTTCCCTTACCTGAACATAGTCCAAAACCATGCCTGCCAAGACCATGCCAAGCCCAGCTAGGAGGTATGGCAGGAGTACTTGCAGGCAAATTGCGATGGCTGACTCTTCCCGCAACTTCGCCATGGCCGCTTTCTCCTCAGCCAACAGCTTCTGCTGTGCATGCAGAGAGACATCCTCTGCCTCCTGGCTGCCAAGTCGGCTCTCTCGGTGTTTACCCTTGCTCTTTGCTTTGTGCCTGGATCGCTCTCCATTCCTAGTCCTGCCCTCTTTTCTCCTCTGCCGAACTTCCTCACCTCTCATGGTGGCTTTCTTCAATCACAGCTTTTCTGAAAAAACAAAGTCAGATACAATGAGATAGTAAAAAGAGGCATCAGATGGGTCAGAGACAGGAAACCCTTTGGTATTTTGTCCACTCCACTAACCTGAAAGCAAACTACTACCTACTCCCAAACCCCTAGATGCTCTGCTAATGCAAATACTAGTATTTAGTTTACCTTCAACTTTGTATAGTGTCAAATCGATCTCCCTTTCTGTAATTGCATCTCTTTCTAGGCCTACAT